ATAAAAATAATGTTAAATGTATGTATAAAATAAATACAAGAAAAAATCTATAGTATATTAATAAGAATGACATAAGATCTATAAACAAATAATATTATAAATTATAATTTTATAACTTGTCAAATATAGGTAAATTTTAGTTAAATTAGATATGAGTAGACTCAAAAATATCAATATTTATATCTATAATTGTCAACATCTTTATAACAAAATATGATCTCAAATCATATTTTATACATGTAAATTATTCAAAAATAAAGTTAGCTTTTAGTGGGATCTAATTTTTGAATTTTTGTATTTTTTTTATTTTTTCAAAAAAATTTAAACTTTTTTCAATATTATATTTAAAACAAACCAATTCTCTGAAAACCGTTCTGATTCCTAATTCAACTCTAGTGTCCAACTCAATAGCTACTTAACTCTAGTCCGATCCGGCTCAATTATGAAAATAATTTTTTAGTTTAAATCAAGCTGTTAATGACTTAGGTGAATTATCCAATTGTTTAGTTTCATCTGGTTTTTAAATTATTACTCTAATACACATTCAGGGAGTTGGAGACTAGCTAGACAAATTTTTTGTTGGGCTGAAGTAGAGGACCAGATACATGATGCACAGTGGGCCTTAAAAATTTAAGTCTAGTTATTCTACGGATGAGCTACTGGCTGCTAGACCTTGAAGATAATGGGCTTCTTCTTTGGTATTCTCTTTGTTTTCGGTTTTCTATTCTTTCAACAAATGGGCTGCCAGGCCCCTTTTTTTTAACATAGGCCGATAACTTGCTAGTCGACATGCTGATCAACTTGCCGAGGACATTGTGCATAGGGAGATTCCAAACTCTGTTTAATTTGTTCTTGTAATTGGGCTTAGCCCTCTCCTTTATCAAAAAAAAAAACTTGCCGAGGATACCAACTAAAGTTGGAGAAATTCTTAGATAAAAAGAGAAAAAGGAAAGAAACCAAATAGATATTTTATTACAAAAATGATAACACATAAAATTTTATTCGATTGAATGGTATAATTTTATTGAATGGATCATAAATGATGTGGTTTATTGAGTCTATAAAAAAATTTCTCCTAAAGTTGGCTTGAATGCTAAATGTTTCATCACTTAAGCATATAATTGAGGATTCAAATCTCATCCAATCATCCCTTATATATATAACAATTTAGATGTCCTCGTTATCGCAAAGGAAATATTATCTATTGTGAGCGGCCTTATTCCTTATCCTTAAAGAAAAACTTCTTGCCAAAGATAGTTTTTGCAAGAAAAATGATTTTCACTTCATAGTTCATAGATTCTACTCTTAGCCATTTAGTTGTTTTGATGGAACTTGATTATATGGAATGTCAATCCCCAATGGACGTTACTTTTATGTGATTTTTGGGACTGCTTTGCTCCCTTTGTATATATAAAAAAGAAAACTTTAAATCCCTTCACTTTGTTTATGTTTTGCTGTTGATCCTTGTATTTTTATTTTAATATTTTAAATTTTTACACTTTTATTTTTTTGGTGTTCTAGGTCCTTTTAAGGTCTCTTCATTTTGTTCATTGAATGACCTAAAATACCAAAAAAATAAAAGTATGAGGACTTAGAATATGAAAAAAAAAGTGCAGAGACTGATAACAAAATATGAGGAAAGTTCAAGAACCCTAAGTTATGTTTTCTCAAAAATAGAAGAGGCTTATAATCTATAAAATTGTGAGTTTAACTTGTGCTTCTAATGTGAAAATCTTATTATTGGAATATTTATAAGTACTTTTATAAATATTCTTTAAATCCAGAAACATGCTCTAACTTAGGTGAGCTTTTAGAATCCAACTTTTGTAAACTTCTGTTTTAAAAAACAAATCTGATATATGAGTAATGTGACTTAAACAATTAAAAAAAATCCAATAAAACCTGCCACCAGGGTTTTAAAAACCGGATCGAATAATGAACCAGAAATATTAATAGGTCACAAGTCTCATGGTTCAACTAGTTAGACCAGTGGTTGAACCGATAATATAATAATTAAATAAAAAATAATATTTATATACATACATATTAAAAAACGGGTCAAAACGATTCAACCACTTCGAGTTCCGAGTTTTTGCTCTGGGTCTTCAAGAATCGTCGGGGTCAAAGCAGGCCAATCCGGGTCAATTGCTAAATGGGCCAAATGGTTGAACTAGACTGCTTTCTTCTTCGAGTGACGGTTCGATCGGTCCAACCATTCGGGTCAGTCTGGATCTTAAAATATTGCCTACCACCTTGAAAAACCTTTTTTCGGCCTTAAGGAACGCAATTTCTTCATGATATTATTCTTGTTTTTATACATATACATATGATTAAAAAGGAGAACCGAATATTTTAAAACAACAAACTTTAAATTTAATGTCTCTATTTTTTGGAAGAACCAAAGAAGTCACTCCTTAAAAAAAAAAACAAAACCTATAACACACAGCTTGAAAAAAAGAAATAAAATTATACATCAACAGCATGAAGAATAAGAAACTGGCAAATACAAAACAACAACAACAACAGACATTATAAGTTCATCAATTTAACTTATTTAAGACTGGCATGTACCAGGACAACATGAATATCAAGCAAGCTCCATGCTACCATCCATCAAATATTCAAATTAAAGATGAAAATAAATATAAATTACAAATAGAATATAACAGATTAATAATGATTTAAAGAGTAAATGATTATCACAATCTTCTAAATTATATTGCACTAAATTAAAATGGGAGAAAAAAGACATTAAGAGATGACACTTTCTTATCTCTCATGCACATTATCTTATCTAGATAAATTGACTTCATGGATTTATTTTCTTGGCATTGGATTACTTGATATCTTGGTCTACTCCACTTTAATCGAAGGACTTAATAGAGATCAAATTAATTCAAATTGAGCTAGATAAGAATATAAAAGGTGATAAAGTTCCCCCGCCCAGGATTTAACATGATTATATTTCAAATGATTATTTTCAGGCCTTTAATACTATTATCATTATAGTTTAAAATGATTATTTTTTGTGTTAACTATCATTATTTAAAAATTTAATTTAATATATCAACACTTGAAAATATTTTTCTAATATTTAAAAGTTCAATATGAGAATTTTTTATTAATGAAACTAATATTGTTAGAGTTAAATAATTAAAAGATATTTTATAAAATTAAGGGACCTAAATTAAATGTACACTTTAGCCACCTTTGATAAAATATGCCAGGTTTTGCAAAACAAAAAAAAAAATTGCAACCGATTTTCCATGTTTTGCATTTTAACATACTTTTTTCTGCAATTTTTCTTGTGTTCTTACTTTGTTTCAGCGGAGAATCTTTTTTTTTTTTTTTTAATCCTTCTCCCCCTCCTCATCCCATGAAGCACTCAAAGGGATCTAAAGTAATATTTTAACGTGTGTTTTCCTTTGATTATAACGATTTGCATATTATAATTATTTTATTTTGACATTTTTGTAGAGTTCAAAATTTATACATTTTAAATAGGTGTAGGAAGCAAAAATCTATTGTTAGGAAAATACCCTTCTCACCAAATGGGTGTGGCATATATGGTAATAGTTTGGATCCTTTGAGCATCATTTTAAGATTTGATTTCTAAAAATATATATATGGAAAATTATTATTTGACAGGATACAAATCCTTAAATTTTTTGAGAAATTAGTTTCATAGCTGCCGTTTTGAGAATACTTTGGGCAATTCAAAAAGAAAAAAAGTAACTCTTCTCATGATCATTCTTATCTGGCAAGATATGGCTAGTTATTTTTTTTTACTCTTATTGTGTACATAATCAATTAAAAGTCCTAAATCAGTCCTCATATCTATTTAATGACATAAATAACTTTATTATCTTTTTTGAATAACATAATTATCTTTTTTGCATAGCTAATTTTTTGTTTATCGGAGGCCAAATATTCATAAAATACATTAAGGGCCTATTTTATTCAGTTACAAACCTCATGATAATGTAATATAATATAATGACAAAAAGTTTTGAGCAACCAAACATATTTTTCTATGGTCACAGTCTATAATTATGTATTACCAGAGGAGAAGTTCACATTGGGAAAAGTCTTTTCCATTTACAAATATACGAAAGCGATTTTAGTTATTAATATATGATTAAATATAAATATAATGACACTGCAAACCCCATAATCACAAGGTCAGTTATTTATAAACAATTAATAAAATGTTCTTACCATGATCACACATATATGTGAAATTGTAAAGGATAAAAGAGTAAATTTGCTTTTAAATTATAAATTTAAAAACATTAGGATCCTAAACTCGATTTTAATATAATATTTCCTTTAAACTTTAAAAATGGGACATTGATTCATATTGTTAAACAAAATTAACTTTAGTTATTAGTTGATGAAAAAAGGGCATAAAATAACCTAAAAATGATCATAAATGATGAAAAAAAAAGATAATGAACTAAAAATTATAGATAACGACCCAAAAATTTACCAAAAAAGGATCAAAGAAATTTTTTATAATTTTTGAGTTTTTTTTTGCTATTTTCTAATTAACTAATGATTGAAGTTATCTATGTAAATGGTATGGCTAGATCGTACTATTTTTAAAAATTAAAAAAAATATTCTACTAAAAATGATTTTAAGCTCACATATGCTTTTTAAACTTATAATTTAAAGATTAATTTATTCTTTTATCCACTGTAAAACCTTTAGGTAAAAATCTTGGAAGCTAAGTTACTTAAAATGACTTTTTAATTATTTTTCTCATAATTATTGTAAAATTATAAAAATATTGAAAGAACACTTGTGAAAAAACTTGTTTAATTAAGAAATTCCAATCTTTTAGGGTTTCTAATTTAAATTTTTAACTTCTAATTTAATTTGTTTTAATTAATATTTTGAGCCTTAAAATGTCATCATTCCAGTAATTGATCCCAAGTGTTATTTTTGCCTTGAATATATTGATATATAATTGGTTATGTGCGTGAATGTGTGATTCCCAAAAATATAAACAAAAAGAAAGAAACGCACCCAATCCGTTTCCCTCGTTGCCTCCCTCTCCCAGTTCCTTGCCTCAGTGTGCCGCAAAGCTCTTTTGCTTCTTCGTTGAAACTCGGAATCTCGGAGATGGGAGACAACAACAAGCCCAAGCCAGCTGGTGTATGGCCTACTGTGAAGCCTTTCGTCAATGGCGGAGCCTCCGGTATGCTCGCTACTTGTGTTATACAACCTATTGATATGATCAAGGTAAAACTTTCGCCTTTGCAATCTCTTTTGGTTCGATTCTCCTGATGGATCATGGAGTTTTTCTTATTCATTCTCTTCTCAGATATGTTGTCGGGCATTATGCATTTGTATTATGGTGTATGCGTGTGATGAAATTTAGATCTGTGATCTGTGATTTCTTTTGATTCTTTTGGCTTTCTGTATGACGGTTTTTCACATATTTTATCGCTTTGTTCTTTTTGTGGGTTCATGATTTAGTTGTTTTCTTAACTGGGTTTGGTATAGGTGAGGATTCAACTGGGTCAAGGATCGGCAGTACAGGTGACATCTAACATGCTTAAGAATGAGGGTGTTGCTGCCTTTTATAAGGTTTGTTTCTCCTCAAAGTTTGAATCTTTTCAACTTTTGTTCTTGATCTCTGGACGTGTCTGGTGTTTTGCAATTCTTCCCAATTTTTTGGATCGTGCTTCTACAATAATTGTGCCCTTACTTGGGTGTCACTGAACTCAGTACCGGATCTGGTTATTGAATCTGTCATTTCAAATTGCATACTATTATAGAGGACAATTTTGAGGTTAATGATTTTTTTTTTTAACTAAATTCTGAAAACTTCATTCCAACAGAGCAAAGGATACACACAAAAGAAGTCCTAGAACGTTACAGCAAGGAAAAACTGAAAACTAAGCAAACTAAAAAACAAAAAACATTCTATCATCATACTCCATCTTTCAAGAAAGATGGTTTGTGATCAAAGATACAAAAATCATTAACTAAAGTATGACCAAACTTAGCAAGTTGATCAGCAAGAGAATTAATTTCTCTATACATGAAATTAATGGAAACATTCCAATCTCTTCTCATTAAATTCACAGCCTGAGCAATAATGTCCTGATAGGGATGAGATTGCTAGTGACGTCTCGTGATGAGATTTATAGCTTCAGCACAATCACAGAAAACTTCTATACTTTTCAAATTGTGGAACCAATATAATTCAAGGCCTTTAACAATTCCTAAGACTTCCATTATAGCTGACAGGTAAACACCTAGCTTATAACTGAAACGTGAGATCCATTGGCCTTGGTGATCCCATATAGCTCCTCCACAAGAAGCATTACCATCAATTAGAGTTGAGCCATCTGTATCTAATCGCACAAAACCTTCTCTTGGTGGTTTCCAAAAATAGGTTAATGATTTTGTTATTTGATGTTTTTGTCCATAAGGATGTCTTCTTTGTAAATAATATGGTTTATGGCTTATTATATGGCTCTTGACGTTAAACATAAGCGAGAAGGAGATTTTTGTACATAGTTAATTATCCTATGAAGTGATTCCAGAGTGACTATGCACTGTATCATCCAACTTTTGAATTGTATTTGGCACGTATTTTCCATTTACCTCTCATTAAGACATACTTCCACTGTTATCTAAACAGAATCATGATTTGTAGGGTCTATCTGCTGGATTACTCAGACAGGCTACATATACAACTGCTCGACTTGGATCATTCAGGTGAGTAAGTCAATGTTTATTGGAAATGAGCATTTCTTTGGCTTTTCCTATTAGCGACTTTATAAGCTTGCTCTGTTTCTGTAATGAGTAACTTTATAACTAGAAGGCACAATGTGTTGTATGATCTTGTACTGTAATTACCATCTTTCAGTATATTTGTTTATGATATATCCATTATCATTTATTCTTCTGATTCTGAGTACTGCATCATACTATATACAATGTTATCTGCAGTTTTACTCCTTTAAGTTCAGTTATAATCATCATCTTACTTGATGATTGTGTCTTTATAGAATGCTGACAAAAAAAGCACAAGAGGCTAATGAAGGGAAGCCCTTGCCACTCTATCAGAAGGCTCTTTGTGGGCTGACTGCTGGTGCTATTGGAGCATGTGTTGGTAGCCCGGCAGATTTGGCACTCATTCGTATGCAGGCTGATGCAACTTTACCAGTTGCTCAGCGCCGAAATTACTCAAATGCCTTCAATGCTCTTTATCGTATTGTTGCTGACGAAGGGGTTTTGGCACTTTGGAAAGGTGCTGGCCCTACTGTCGTGAGAGCCATGGCATTGAACATGGGAATGCTTGCCTCCTATGATCAAAGTGTTGAGTTTTTCAGGGATTCCATGGGTCTAGGTGAAGCTGCTACTGTAGTAGGTATGTAACCACTTTGCAGCAATGGTGAAATTTATAGCTGACGTGATTGTTGTTATTATTTTATGCTGTCATATTATTAACTGAATTCCACTTCACTTAAAATGTTAAAAGCGGAGTAACGTGACTCCAAATGTTAGAAAGAGAGATTAACAGTTACCTTTTGGATGATTTGTTGGGAATCTTTTGTCATCTCATTCTCAAACATGTCATATCTAGCATAGAACAACCCTTTCTGGTAGGCATTTTTGTCTTTAAAGATGTGTTATTCTCTTTAATCAATATGTTCTACTATTTATAAGATTAATAGTTTCGTTCCCTATCAAGAATAGTAACAGTTCAGCTTTCAATTTTACCTGGTGTGCTTCTAAATTTAAACTTAATGATTCCCTTGGCTTTTATTGACAGATTTGTTGTTGGCTCAGAGCCTTTGGGATTCTCTGTTTTTACACACACAATTTCCTGTCTCGTTTGTAGTCAAGATGATAGATGCAGATTTTAGAAGACATCTTGCATATGCTCTTATTCCTTTGAAGGATTTTGCCACTTCAGATATGGTTCAACTAAATTAGTATAAAAGAATATTTTTGTGACAATGTACAGCAAGGCTTTATCCCAGCATAAGAGCACGAGAGAGATTCTAGAGATATGAATTAGGACAGTTTAGCTGAGATGGGATATTATATTTTTTATGTCCCTCGTTGAAAAGATCTGAGTCGAGTCAGTGTAATGGGAATTGATTGCTAAATGTGAAATTGACTTGTTCTTGATGAATATTGACACTGACATGTCAACACTTCATGCATCCATGCTCTGAAGACACCATGCTAAATGCTTTTGATGGCTAAGATATATATAGACCGCTGATGCTGAGTAGAGTAACCCTTGTGTGCGCGTTACAAAGCTTAAGTATGATTCCTTTATTTGGATTGATGGTAGTCTGAATTAGTTAAAAGGGGGTTCTCTTTCGTTGCTTTCTCAGTTTCTTCTATGTGAAACATGCATATTTCTCAAGGGCTAATATTTTGTGACGTCATGTACAGGTGCAAGTACTGTTTCAGGATTTTTTGCCTCAGCTTGCAGTTTGCCCTTTGACTATGTGAAGACCCAGATACAGAAAATGCAACCTGATGCTGAGGGAAAATATCCATATGCAGGTTCTCTAGATTGTGCTGTCAAAACCCTGAAATCAGGAGGACCTTTCAAATTTTATACCGGATTCCCTGTTTATTGTGTCAGAATTGCTCCTCATGTCATGGTAATCACTTTTATTTGCACACTTTGTTTCTACTTTGGTCTTCTCTCTTTCTCTTACAACCATAGGTTAGAAATCCAGGCCAACCCACCTGGTTGAACTAGTAAATCGTTGAACTAATATTTTGACTGGTTTAATAAAATTTTTTGTTTATGATTGGTTTAATCACAATTCAGCTATGATTTTGACCATTAACCCTTCAATCATTGCTGTGACTGATTTAATAACCGATCTGGTTTTTAGTACTTAACAGCTAACTAGATATGGGCCCTTCATGTGTTGCACAAAGTCTAAAGAATGAACTATATCCATCTTCCAATAGATTTTAGATTTTATATCATATATTATTAATATGCTGATACTGATATTGATATTGATTCTTTGATTTGCCTTCATTCTAGAGTATCTTTCTGATACCTGCTTGTTCTTGCTTGTGCAGATGACCTGGATTTTCCTTAACCAGATTCAAAAGTTGGAGAAATCTGTTGGATTGTAGTTCTCTTTTGGTCATGACCGTCATTTTTTGTTGGGTTTAGACTTCAGACAAATTTTTGCATGCATTGGAGCATGTATGAAGTAAGATCCTGAGGACTCAAGAATTTCTCTAAGGTTTAAGGTTAAGCTTTAAATAATAGGTTGGGTGGGAGATCCTTTTTGGCTACATCTCAACCGCGAGGTTGATCATTTTATGTTTGTTTTTTCCCCCTTTAAAGACTTCATCATTACGCAACTGAAGCTGGAATTCAAAATACCTGTTGTACCAGGTCTAAAATCCAGTTTTTTAAGAACAAAATTAGGAAATTTATTGAGACTGAAGCAGATTGGCATAATCCCCTTTTAGATTGTAGGACTGTAATTGTAATATGGAGAAATATTGAACCATTTCAAGTTCTATAATTTCATCCTGTTGTAGGTTTTTTTTTTTAAAAAAAATATTAGGTTGGATTTGGATTTAAATCAAATTTTTTATTTGAATACATAAAAGTCTTTGAATTTAGATTGATTCAACTCCAAATTAATGTTTTATTATAATTTTTTATAATTTTAATTTTTTTTTAGATTTTAATTATTTGAATTTTTGACTACTACAATCTTTTTGTATTCTTTACGATTTCATTATTAGCATATTTGTTATTCTTGTTTCTCCTTTTATCTCTCATCCCATCTTATTTATTGAAAAATGGAGATAAGTTTGTTACTTTTAATTTTTTTGTTTTTTGCTTTGAATCTTAGCTCATTTCTTTTATATCTTTAAATTTTTTTACATTATTAAAATGAAAAATTGTAAATATATGGATTTTAAACGTGATAATTTTTAAATTTAAAATTCAACTTCATGTTTAATTAAAAATTGATTTGGTTCCTTTTCAGTTTAGTTTAAATAACAATAAAATTGTGTTCATTCTTGCAACATGTTAAGATAATTTATACACTCTACAAATTAAAATTATCTAAATTTTGATTACTTAATAAATAAGCAACATTTCAAAATTCAATAAATGTCTGCAAATTTTTACTTGTGTTTGATAGTTTGATACTCCGATGTATCGGTTTGGTTTATAATAAATTGAATACTAAACAAGTTGTATGATTTGGCAAGGACGAGATGAAATTAGTAGGATTTTAATTTAGTTGGTTTTGATTATTTTTTGGGTGTTTAATTTAATATTGTTCACTTATATGGTTTTGGAACTTGAGTGTTACTATTAGTGAATCTTTATCGGATTTTAAAAGCCTTTTCTTATTTGTTAAATTAGTAGGCTTTTTTTTTTTTTAAATACAGAGTTAGGGAAAACTGTGCAAATATAATAATTAGTTCATGGTAGAACATACAAGTTTTTCGTACCCTAATAGTGGTTCTACAAGAATCACAATGTTCTAAATTGTCGCTTGATGCATGTTGAGTAAGTCAATTCACATATTGATTCATTTCACTAAAAAAGTTATCAAAAGTTATAATTTAGGGTCTATTTATTTTTTTAAAATTTTTTTTTTGGTTTATGAAAACAAAAAAAATTTAAAAATTTGTTTGTATAAGTGTTTTTTATTTAATTGTTTCCAAAACTATTTTTATTTTTTGTTTTCAAAAATAAAAAAATAGAAACAATTTTAAGTTGTTTTCATCTTATTTTTTTATTTTTAATACACTGCATTTGATTATTGAAAATTATAGTTACTTGATCAATTTCTATTATTAATCACTATCATTAACTGTCTATAATCATTATTATCAGTTCACTTTTTAATTCTAAAATTATTTTTTAATTGACATAACCAAATGAATTTTCATTTTATTTATTTTTAAAAAATAATTTTAAAAACTGTATTACAAAATAGTTTTTAAAAACAAAAAATGAGAATAAAAACCAAATAGACCCTTAGTCTCTTATAACCAAATCACTGATGTTATTGATAACATTTGAAAAGGGATGGTATTAGGAGTAGTCCTGTTGAATGAGTGTGAAAGCTTTAGTAGAATTAGAGTATACGCTTGATTTTAGTGAATTTGTTATTCTAGCAAAGATTAAGGCTTTCTTAGAAACCTATAAGTTCTACTGCAGTGCTAGAGTAATGACCAAGATATTTAAAAAAAAACCCTTCATCCAGTTTCCTTGATTATTCGAATGAGACCTCTACAGATGGTAGAGCTGTTGATGTCAACTAAATTGTTGCTGTCCAATCTCATTCTATTAGAATCTGGTTGGCACCATTTTGCATGAGCTCTATCATGATACAAAGAATTGTTGTTGAGTTTTAGCTTCACATTGAGGTCATTGATAATATTTTGGGGTTAGGAGAAGGTTATGTCTTTAATAGGAAAATCCTTTTTTAGATAGATGCACTTGTATCTCTTCTTTTAGATATTCTAGCAAATGTGAGTAAAAAATTTTTATCAAGGGATTCTTCTAGTGCTCAAACCTCTTGCATCATTTTTAGATTCCAAAGAATCCAATCTTTCAATGCAATAGAGAAGAAAATATTAAGCTTAGAAAGATTTAATAAAATCTATTTTTTAATAATTTAAAATTTTATTATGTAGAATCTAAAATAAATATGATACCTAAATTGTCATTATGTTAAGAAAATAAATTTTCATAAAAAAATTATCAATTAAGAATTTTAAACCTAAACTATTAAAATTAATTTTTAAATTTGTTGACACCATTTTGCATGAGCTCCACGAGGGTCCAAAGAATTATTGTTAAGTTTTAATTTTAGATTGAGGTCATTGATAATATTTTGAGTGCAGGAAAAGGGGATGTCTTTGATAGGAAAATCTTTTTCATAATAGATGAGTTTGTATCTCTTTTCAAATATTTTAATAAACGTGAGTAACAACTTTCTGCCAAAGGATTCTTCTAGCGCCCAAGCCTCCTGCATTATTTTTTAGATTCCAAAAAATCCAATCCTTCAATGAAATGGAGAAGAAACTATTAATTTTAGAATTTTTGACTTATTTCAATTATACATCCCTAGATTTCATTCAGTCAGCAAGATGTGGATTGAAGAATCTAAAATGTTACAATCAAAGGGACAAACTTTTAAATTAAGAAGGTTTAAACTTTTAATCTCTTAACATTTCACTCACTTTATTATGAATTGAGTCCCAATGCTCATCATTTCAGGTGATGAACACCAAATCTAAACAATCAAAATCAAAATCAAATGATTTAGATTTAATAAAATCTATTTTTATATTTTTTTAATAATTTAAAATTTTAGTATGTAGAATCAAAAATAAATATAATATCTAAATTGTCATTATGTTAAGAAAATAACATTTTCACAAAAAAAAATTATCAATTAAAAATCTTAAACTTGAATTATCAAAATTAAATTTAGATAGTTTAAATCCCATCCTTATTAAGATGAGCATCACTGTATTACAATGATCATCACCTTTACTATGGATCATCAAAAATGAAAAGCGGAGCCGCATAGACTATTATTTTACCGAACAATTGCATCCTTTCCTTGGAGGGCTTCCATTACTAATTCAGGCAAATAACATCTCAGCATAAGAAGGACCTATTTTTTCCTCCCTCTTCCTGTTACTGTGGATTAGTGACGTGTAGAAAGAACAAAAGTACAACAATCTTTCCCATCATAGAAATTAGAAAGTAGCAAGTGCTCTCCCCCATCGTTGAATCTCAATTGTTTGCTCCATTTATAGGCATATGATTAAAGATTTAAAAACTTAAAAAATTGTAGAATAGCATCAATCATTTGTTTGTTTGTTTATTTGTTATTTTATGCAAATAAAGTGACCGATAGGGGATACCAATTGAATTAGGTGAAATGAAATTAATTTTTTCTTAAATAAAATTGAGGGTACAATTACAAGTATTGTAAATGAAAGAAATTATATTAGAAATATTACCTCCAATTGAATATAATTATGCTCATATATAATCTAATAATATCGAATATCGCATTATTACTATTATATTTAAAAGTATATATATAAATGAAGTGAATTAAAAATAATTGAGATTGTCTAACAATAACTATCCCACAAGGAGTACAAAGCATATGAAAATTGCTTAATTGCTTGGAATTTCTAATCCTAGTTTTCTCTCTTTCTCATTTTCTTCTCATTTTTTCTCCATCCAAAAATGTCAAAGTTAATCAACTAATTCACATAGATAAAAAATTATATAATTTGGTTATTTGTAAACAAAAAATATGCATTGATTTTTCTAAAGTACGCCAGCAACTCGAGTCACGAGTTAAGTATGATGATCACTCAACTTTGCAAAATAAATAAAAGCATTGTTTGTAAACTCGAATTGACCTAAGCAGGAAGACCCGTAAATCAATGAACTGGTCACCTAACCAATCTGGTTGATTAAGGAAACTAGTCACTTATGATCTGCCTTCAACTCGGACAAACTTGGCCAACCCGGTGGGTTAATGAGTTAACCTAGGTCAAATTTTATTATTTTTTATTTTCCTTTATATTTTTCCTTTCTTCTTTGAATGTTGATCCTTAAATCAAATATAAATTTATTAATTAATAATTTTAATGATATTGTGTTTTATTATTGCCAGAAACTTATAATTATTATTTCTATAAGACATGTATAGGGTTTTATGGATAAATTTTTTATTTACTCAAGAATAAAATATTTTTATTTAAATATCATGGTCTTTCATATGAATATGTTTGTATATTTAATCAAATTATATTAGTGTAACCGTGATCAATCTAATTTTGGGTTGACCCTTAGTTGCACCACTAACCTTTAAGTTATTCTCTTACCTGATTCAATGATCAATTCGATTGTCAATACCTTATTGAGATCTTATCATTGAAAAAAAAAAAACCTCTATCAATTCATATATCGAAGACTCAAAAGAAGCATATGTCACTATTGAATAGTACTCCTACTTGTCAAAAATATAGGACATTTTCTACTTAAAAGAAATTATATTTAATTAAAATAATTTGACTTTTTTTGGTAAATAAAATAATAGATTGCCTTTAATTGAAGGTAACTTTAAAAAGTAGTAATAATTTTTTTACCTATTTTAGTAATACAAATCACTTTTAGTTTCTTTTCATGATTAATTTAAAGAAGTTAAAAAAATTTTGTGGCAAGGGAAAAGATGGATTGAGATGCCTTCTCCAGAAAAGTCAAGATATCTCATTGACGATTCATGGGAGAGCTGCATGAGGTCAAGCCGGGATCAGGAGAATTCCACGAATATTATATATAAATATATATAATATAATATAATTTAAAGAAAATCACAATTAGGTGCTACATAAAAGATTTAATTATTAAAAGATCCCATAAAAGGCATAAAATATCCCTAAATCTCAAATATTGCATATTTATATCTTAAGAAATGATATTTATAATTAGACAATGAGCATTTATAACTTATTATTAAATTCATATTTAAGTTGTCATTTTCTTTTACTCAATTATAAATTTTTTTTACCAAATTGTAAATGCGTATGATTTGAGAATTAAGAATATTTTATGCATTTTATGAGACCTTTTGTTAATTAAATATCTTCTATGAGACTTAAGTATGATTTTTCCTAATTTTTTAAATAGAATGAAGTAGTTATTAATAATTCACAAAAAAAATATTGAATTCATTTCACCTGTATCCAACCATTGCTTAACGTAGCTGTTCTACGTTGAAAATTGCACATATCATCTCAAAATTTCGAAGTCACGAGAATATAGCTCTCATCTCATGTTAATAAAGTTGAGAGTTCAGTAAAATAGATTAGTATTTTATAATATAATATATTAAAATTTAAATATTTATAAAAATAAAAAAGTGTTCATATTTGATGCTTGAACAAGATTTTTTTTCAATTTAAAAAACACTTATGCGTGGTTAAAAAACAAAGTATGGTCATTTCACCAACCTCGCAATGAAACTAAACGTTTTCAACGAGCAATGCGTGAAAATGTTTTTGGAACATTTTTTGGGCCATCTTTATCTTTTGGCAGTATTGGAGTTTTCTTTTTCTTTTATTCGTTACACTCAATCAATTTTAGTTCATTCTTCATTAATTTTCTAATATGAATGAGATATTTAGTCATTGAATTCAAATTGATCGTGAGTGCAAATATATTTTAAAAATTTTATTTCATTAATCAATCAGGATTGATAAACAGGCCATGTGACCGATTAAGAAAATTGAATTATTAATTTGGAGTTACAATCTCTTATAGTTTTTTATATCAAAATTAAAATATTTAATTCCTTATAGTTAAATTGATTAATGATTCAAAGTGAAGATCTAGAAAAGGGTAATTATTCCAGTTGACTCAAAGTTGTTGATTTCTAACGAAGACAAAACAACATATACATGCTGTGTATGATATCTACTAATAACTAATTTAATAAAAAAATGGTTAATATATTTTATATGATAGCAAAATAATTTGTGTGATATTTTATTAAAAAATTTAATTCTATTATATCTATTATAAAACCATCTAAATTAACATCAATTTAATTAAAAATTAAATAAATTGTTTTATCCAATTAATATGAAAAATTAAAATATTATATATAAAAATAAATAATACTCCATCCATTAAAAAATATAAGGCATTTTTTAAGAGTTTGATGTTAAAAAATATAAGGTATTTTTAGTCTTTTGAGATGTAATCATTGCCCTTTTTTAAAAAGTACCCCTATTAATGAATGACTTTATATTTATTATAGGGTATTTAATAGGGGTAAATATAGAAAGATAGATTAGTTTAAAAGTAGGTAACTACTTTATTGAGGGGTGATGTTCAATTAAAAATGTCTTACATTTTTAAATGGAGGGAATATATTTAATATATTTTTCAATTATATCATCAATTGAGCTTAGCAATGAGCAGATTTCATTTAATTAGATAGTCATATAAAAAAATATATATTTTTCAGTGGACTTTTTCATTTAGAACTTAAAGTTAAAGTATAAATCTATTTTTAAAATTTTAAGATAGTCATATAAATATTTTTATGTTTAATCATATTAGAAAAGAATGAAAAGACCAACATGTCCTTGTATAATTTTTTTTCCTTCTCCCTCCTTCCTTTCAACATGGCAAAAACAAAACCCCCGCGCGATCTTCCTCTTCTTTTTAACAATCAACACTCAAATGCAACACACTGCAACACATAAATCAGATCTAAAACTCAAGTCTTTTTCTCCCCCCTTCTTGCCAAGCAATGTGAAGAATAGATCTAAAACTCAAATTTAGAGCAAAATTATAAAACTTGTTGACGACAAGTGCGAACAACTATGAAAGAACATTTGAAGATTCGAAGATGCGTCACAAGTTCTAGTGGTGCTTAGATCTGAAGAGGCCAACGATGTTGGTTTTTGAAGAGGGTGTCAAACGATGAGATTTTTGGTAGGCGTCAATGTTGAAAGACCATGGTTTTTGACACTTGCGGTTCCTTAAGCTCAATTTGAAACCCATGACATCAACAAGATTTGCAATGAAGAGAAGAGCATCCGATCTTGAGAATTGGAATATGGCATTAGAAGGGAATGTGCAGGAAAATGATGACAGAAGAGGCGATGGCTCTGCTGACGTGAGAGGAGTCGATGAAGAAGGTGGAGATGGCTTTATGACAATGTTTTTAGAAACACACTGGAAAAGGTTATCAGTTTACATTTGCATGGTCCAATGATCGAATTAATGATGAAATAGTTAAATAAAAATGATATTAAATATATGTATAAAATAAACAAAAAAATCTATAATATATTAATAAAATAACTGTAAATTAAAATATTATAAATTATAAATTTATAATTTTTTAAATATATGTGAATCTTAGTTAAATTAAATATGATTAGACTCAAAAATATTTATATTTGCATCTATAATTGTTAACATCCTTATAAAAAATTATCTCAAATTATATTTTATACATATAAATTATCCAAAAATAAAGTTGACTTTTAGTAGGATATTTTTTTTATTTTTAAGTTTTTTTAATATTATGTTTAAATCATTTAATTTTTAAAAAATGCTCTGGTTCCGTTTCAACTTTAGTTTTCGATTCAGTAACAACTCAACTTTGGCTCAGTTATGAAAATGATTTTGTGGTTCAAATGAAATTGTTTACAGCTTTAGTCAAGGGTTCGATCATTTAATTTTTAAATCATTGCTTTATAAATCATAGAAAATGGGAGATTACTTCAACGTAGTGTGGGGGGCAAATCTGACGCTTTAAAATAGTAATAAGTGCTCGAAGGAGGTAGACTATTAACAAGTATCACTAGATTTTTGGTAATGATCATTATGATTTGAGTAACTAAGCGTATTTTTCCATTCTACGACAACATGATGCGAATTACCATGGGTTAAACCAAACAGTTCCATATTAAAATATACGATAAATAATAGGCAATAGATATATCTACATGTACATATACATATATAAATTAATGGTCAAATTTATTCTTATCAATCCTGGAATTTATTTTCATAATGTCTATGCTCAATCTTTATGTTTAATTGATAAATGCACAAAATAAGATTATAATTCATTAATAAAAAAAATTAATCTTTTAGTCCTTCAATTTTTAACTCACTTGTAACTCAGTCCCTCAACTATAACTCGCTGCAATTCAGTCTCTCAACTTTTAATTTATCTATAACTCGGTCCTTATTTTTAATTTTTTTTTAAAAATTTTTATCAAATAAAAGGAATAAAAAATGCTCATATATTATTTTAAAATACCCTCTTCTTGTTTATTAATGTGAGATATAAGCTAATATGAAAAAAAAAAATAACAAAGGCTAAGGGACTAATTTGTAAGTGATTCAAAAGTTAAGGAACTGAGTCATAGGCGAGTTATAGTTGAGGGATTGAGTCACAGCGAGTCATAATTGAGGGACTAAATTACAAGTGACTTAAAAGTTGAAGGATTAAAAGATTAATTTTTCCTTCATTAATTTATAAACATGTTTAAAGATTTTATATATTTTTAAATTTAATTTTTTCAAATTATCTACCTCACAATCCAACAATTAGCTTGCGAAAACTATACTGTCAAAAATTGAAGTTTGAATAGTTTTCAAAAACTTCCAAACAAACAATAAAGGAGAAGACATAAGCCGAAGGAGGGAGGGTCACCACATGTGTTGGGCGGATAGGGACATGCGTGTCATTTTATAATTAGGGTTTTCATCCCGGCTCGGTCACCCAACATTAGTAAAACGGATTCGTAACAGACCAATAACAAAACAGAACATGAAAAGTCAATTTTAAAACCACCTAATGGAACATCTCCACGTGATAGATCCACCCAACGAGATGTCGGCAATGAAATCACAATGTCACCCGCAAGTAATTTAATCGGAGTGCCAAAAGAGGGCGTGGTGCTATTTGAATCACCGCTTTTGGATGAACAAAACCCTCTCTTTCCCAAAACCCAAACCCTTGGCGGCTGTGCGTGTGTGACCCGTTTTCTCTATTTCTCACTCCTTTAGGGCTTTCTCAAATCCTCTCTCGGTCGTCTGTCTTCTAAAACCCTTGTATCTTTATTTGGATTTGGGGTTTTTGTTTTCTCTTATATATATATATATTAATATTATCGTTCAAGTTTCGTTTTCTCGTCTCCGTCGGAAGAGGATCTTGCCGATTGTTTGATTTCTCATGGCCACTGTCGCTCCTTCCGCAGATCGTATCCTTAAATTGATTCTTGATTTCATTTCTATGTGTTTGAAGTTTTGTATGCTGTTGTATTTTTCTCGCTTGATCTGGTTTTTCGAAGCGACCTTTGATTTGGATCCGAGTGGTTCGGAGCTAATATGTGTAGTTTGTTTCTGCTACGATTTAACTTTTTTAAAGAATATGATTTGATTGGGGATGACCGCTGGCTTGCTGTGTTATTTGCTCTCTTGTGTTGGTTGGTTTCTTGGATTTGTTCGTAGTGAAGTGTTTCATGTCGGTGAATCTGCTTTAATTTTGAGTGAGATGGCTTTGCTCTGGAAATTGTGCTTGGATTGGTTTTTTTCCAAATTCTAGTTATTTTGTTTTTCTGGGCTGTCTTTACTGTCTCTATTTATCGAAATTGTCTCCCTTTACTCTACTCTTTGTAAACAGAAGCAACAGATTTACTGCAGAAGTTGTCGTTAGACACTCAACCAAAGGCCTTGGAAATTCCGGAACCAACCAAGAAGGTAATTGCTGTCTAATTGTTTTCCGGTTGTATAATACTCTGTCAATGAGCGAGTTGCCTACGCTACTGATGGAGACTAGTTTTTAATATTATGAATGAACGAATTTGTGATACGACAAGTTTCCTGAACTTTTCAGCATGGAAGATGAAAATAAGTTTTGTATGTGTGGGAAATTGTACCTGGCCATACGTTTTAACGAAGAGTTTTGTCAAATCTTGTGTAGGCCACTGGCAACCAGTATGGATCCGTTGATGCTGGCAATGCTGCAAATGGTCAGATCCCATCATGTGAACGCTCAGTGACACCACTATTACAAGATTTTATTGATCCCACCATGTGTTACCTTCCAAATGGTTACCCATCGACTGCCTATTATTATGGAGGTGAGTTGATGCTGAAATTTATGACTATGTTGATATGTGGTATTGGAGAAGATTATTAGATAGTCTTCTGGTGTATGCTGATGTTTCATCTGATCAACCTACGCTGAAATCTGTTCTTTGTAGGTTATGAAGGGACTGGAAATGAGTGGGATGATTATTCGAGATATGTGAATCACGATGGAGTTGAGATGACTTCTGTAATTTCTTATAAGCCTCAGCTCATATTTTTTTGTTGTGAATGATTATTTTATGTTTGCTTAACATGCATTCCCCCCTCTTGCAGGGAGTTTATGGGGATAACGGGTCGCTTATGTACCATCATGGATATGGATATGCACCCTATGGCCCTTATTCACCAGCTGGTTCTCCAGTTCCGACAATGGGAAATGATGGTCAGTTGTACGGGCCTCAACATTACCAGTATCCTCCCTATTTTCAGCCAATGACACCAACCAGTGGGCAATTCACGCCTACTCCTGTTGTCCCAACTCAGGGTGATGTTTCCACCTCTGTAGCTGCTGATCAAAAGCCTCTTCCTGTGGAAGTGAATGGGAATTCCAATGGCATCAACAATGGCGGGACTGTGAAGGGAAATAATGGTGCTAACCCTGGGAAACCAGCCTATCAAGTCTCATCTTTTAATTCCAATGCTTCGTATGGAAGAGGTAACATGCCCGGCCGTATTCCTACTTCAGGTTACCAGGATCCACGATTTGGTTTTGATGGATTGCACTCACCTATTCCATGGTTAGATGCCCCACTATTTTCAGATGGACAGCCAAGGCCCGTTGCTAGCACAGCACTCACTTCCTCAATATCAGGTGGAAGTAACATGACTGCTTCAAGGAACCAGACTTTTCGCCCTGGCTCTCAATATATGGTGTGTTGGTTGCTTATTCTAACTTTTTCTGACATTCAAGCGTACCTGTCTATCAAGATTATTTATGATTTTTCTAATGGCCTGCATGTCTTTGAATTTGTTTCCTGTTCAATTACCAGAGTGGTTTGAACTGGAGTGCACTTGCTTGCCTTGTTAGGTCTAATACTTTTTGTATATGATTTTAATAACTGGCTTGATTTTCTTAGGGTTTGCACCATCCGAGGCCAATGCCTGCCATGGGAACCACTCATGGCTTCATAAATAGGATGTATCCAAACAAATTATACAGTCAATATGGGAACACGGTCAGATCTGGTATGGGATATGGAACACATGGATATGATTCTCGGATGAGTGGACGTGCTTGGCTGGCTGTTGACAATAAGTATAAAAATAGGGGGCGAAGTGGTGGCTACTTTGGCTATGGTAATGAGAACATGGATGGTTTGAATGAACTCAATAGGGGACCTAGGGCCAAGGGCAGCAAGAACCAGAAGGGTTTCACGCCAACTGCCTTAGCAGTTAAAGGGCAGAAGCTGCCAACAAATTTAAACAATGATGATGAGAAAGACGAGACAAGTATTGTTCCAGACCGTGACCAATATAACAAAGCTGATTTTCCTGAAGAATACTCAGATGCTAAGTTTTTTATCATTAAGTCTTACAGTGAAGATGATATTCATAAAAGCATCAAGTATAATGTGTGGGCCAGTACACAGAATGGCAACAAGAAGCTTGATGCTGCATATCAGGAGGCCCAGCAGAAGCCTGGTGGATGCCCTGTATTCCTTTTCTTCTCGGTTAGTTTCTTTATCCTTGTGTTTACAGTATTGTATTTCTTGTCGATAAAAATAGCTGTTTTCTCACTTGCTAAATTTCCATGCAGGTTAATACCAGTGGGCAATTTGTTGGTCTTGCTGAGATGATTGGTCCTGTTGATTTTGACAGGAGTGTTGAGTATTGGCAGCAAGACAAATGGAATGGTTGTTTTCCTCTGAAGTGGCACATAGTTAAGGATATTCCCAACAATTTGTTAAGGCACATCACCTTGGACAACAATGAGAACAAACCAGTCACTAACAGCAGGGATACTCAAGAGGTCATCAGTCGTGCTTATCACCATATGTTTATTTGATTGCCTTAAATCTCTCTTTTTTGTTTGGTAACCTTAGCAGCAAGTTTGTCTGCAGGTGATGCTGGAACCAGGGAATAAAATGGTTAAAATTTTTAAGGAGTATGTCAGCAAGACTTGCATTTTGGATGATTTTGGTTTTTATGAGGGTCGTCAGAAGACAATTTTGGAGAAGAAAGCGAAGCAACAATTCCCCAAGCAGGCAAGAAACTTTTAACTATTTCGGTGCCTTTTATGTTGTACTTTTAGGAGATTGTGTGATTAGATAATCATGAATTAATTATGCTATTGCTATTGGATTCTATTGATGCAGGTATGGGAGGGGAAGCCCACTGATGACAAAGTTGAGTTAAACGGGGAGGTTGAGATACAAAAACCTGATGTTGCCTCTGGATTGCTCAAGGAGTCTAACCAAGCTGAGAAAGGTAGCGATGAGTGCAAATCAGTGGGGAATGGGTCTGTTACGAATGCTGGAGATGCCCCGAAGGGTGCGAAACCGGTTGTAGCTGAGAAGAAGATTGTAGCCAATGGGGTTGCTAACGGTTGCTAACCTCTGCCATATTTAATGATGGCGGTGCTAGATGGGTTTCTTTAGCCTGTACTGTTTCTTAGCGTATGATACTAAGCCTACGAGCTGCCGCCTGATATGATCTGTCTTGCATTCTCTTTATATCTGAAGATGATAGTTTGGGCTGACAAGTGGAGAAGAAGGTCTGTATATTTTGGAGCTTGTCAAGGCAGAGAAGTAGTTCATAGAATGCTAGTGTCAACCCCTTTTTCGCTGGGTTTTGGTTACAGTGGTTAGCCTCCTAACAGGTTTTCTTGTTCCTAGGGTTTTGGGTTTTAGGTTCATGTTCAAGTGATGCTATACCTTATGGCCTTTTCTTTTCTTTTTTCTCTTCTCTTTTCGGGGCTTTATCTTTCTCTTATTTTCTTTTAATTTTTATATTTGGTTTGTTATTTCCTATCTTTGTAAATCTAGAGCTACTTTGGTGCGAAGCCTCATTGCTTTTGTTACTTGCAAGAGAGCTAGAGGAAAGGTGGGAAAATATTGAAATATAGCTGGCTTTAAGTAGCTTGGTTTCTCTTTATTTAGTTATATTTCGTTATGTTACCCGATTGTTTGACTATGCGTATCTTGAATGAATAATCTGTTCGTGGACATTGGGTGGACAGGCTAGTCAAACACGTGTCCATTTTGTTATTTCCTTCCAAGATTCATGGCAAGATATGCCATGCTAAAATTGAAAGGTACATCTATGTCTTGGTGTTGCGGTGGAAATTATTTCGTGGTTTAAATCTGGCGTTATTGGCGGGGTTAAGCTAAAACAGGTACATTTTCGGGGGGTAGTGAGGGGTTCGCTGGTGAACGGTGATTACTTTAAGGCTGTGTTTCCGTGTGTGTTTTGCATGCGTATTTGAATTTGGATTTAAATTTGATCCAAATATTTAATTTGGATTCATGAAAGTCTATGGATTTGGATTCATGTCTTTTTTATAACTGTTTTGTAATTTTTTTTTAATTTTGGTTATTTGAAATTTTAGTTACTTTAATCTTATTTCTGTGTCTTTTTTCTTTTACCTTTGTTTTTTCAGGTTTGCTTCTCATGTCTTTTTATTTGGCTTTCGCAGATTGAAACTTGCCAATTTCAATTTCTTTTTTTTGGGCATTGGATCTCAGTTATTTTATTTTTTTAAATTTTTTTACGAAGAATTTTAAATTTGAGATTTTTAATTTAAGATTTTAATTTAAATTATGAATCCAAATACTTTCCAATGGAACTTGCCTTATGCGTTGATATTGGTGCCGTGGTGTATTGGTTTGCGAATCGTTTGCCTTGTTTGTCCTGACCACTTCAATCGTTAATTGTGCGAAGGCAAGATCTTCCAAGAATTGCTAGCCAGGGGTATTTTGATCATTTCAAGATGGGTTTCATTGCAGTTCAAAAATAATTGTGGTAGGATTTTGGGATGGAAAAAAGGTTTGCAATGGGGTAGGATAGGATATAGGATTATGATTGGAATGTCTTCGTCTTGTCTTAAATATTATATTTTTATTTTAAAAAATATGCATTAAATATATTAATTATATTAATATAATTTATATTTATAATGATTATATTGATTATATCAATTATAATTTCAAGATGTGCAATTCTTATTTAAAATTAAAAATTTTTATATTGATAATTTTAATAACATAAAGTAAGTAATGTGATATTTTTTATAATATATTAATTATATTAATATAATTTATTCTTTAATTTATCTATTTAATAATTTTTATTTTTATTTTTATTTTTTGTTTTATTTTCAAAAAAGTAATTAGCTTAGCACATTTCAACTAAAGTAAAATAATAATGATTTGATGTTGTGCTTGATTGGTCTATTGCTGCTACTTTTACAGTATAGAGATCACTTGTAATTGTTATTATAATGTATAGTTGTGATTAATATAATTCAATAATTGACTTAAATTATTGTGGTTTGTGTACTTGTATTGTTTTGATCTTAAACTTAATAAATTATATGATTTAAAATTTTAATGAATGTTATTATTTAAAATTTTCTCCAACATTGCCCAACTTATTGGAGAGGCGGGATGTTCTGATCTTGTCCCTATCTTATCCTGATTCTTAATGGGATGGGATGAATTTTGGTATGGGAAAGAATACGGGATAAAAATTCAGTGTTGGTATTTTTTTAGGACGGGAAATGGGATAGGGGTGTCTCGGTCCTATCCCTTCCCATAAACACCCCTAGCCTTAACCCATTATGTTTGCGTGTCAAGCCTTATGATCTTGTTGATTAATGAAGATCAATGTTTTTTTTATTAAGTACTTAGAATTGTAATGAAAATAGATAAATCTATAAAATAAATTAGAGCAAGAATGTCACCCTAAAAAATTTAATAGCCAGAGTAGGAGAATATCCAAGGAAAATGATATTTTATTTCTCAATGTCTAGTTATGATGAGAGGTAGCCCATTTATAATGTGGGAATTACATCAGAATAATAAATAAATAATAAAAAATTATCCTAACATATCTGGGATTACATTGCAACTGACTCAAATTGACTTAATGTGTAAACCACTTATTTCGCTAACTAAAACTAAAAATGCAATTATTAAATCAAAATTAATTTATTTTTGCATAATTGATTCTAACTTCCTTCTTTTTCTTCTCTGATAAGTCAATAGTGAAGGACCCCTCAGCATGCTATCAGTACCCTCTCCTCAAAAATAGACTTGTCTTCAAGTCAAAAAGTGGGAAATTGAGTGGCTACCAAATCATAATCCTCCCAGCTTGCATCTTTAAGTGGGCGGTGATTCCATTGAATTAAAATTTCCAAAATTCCTCCAGGTGTCCAATGATGATTCAAGGCCTTTAAGGGAGTAAGGATGAGCTCCAGGTTTTTAGAGAGAGGCAAAAGTGTTGGTGGTGAAGATGGTTGCTATCCATGAGTTGGCCGAAGGAGGGAGATGTGAAAAATAGGATGAACCTTAGACTCAAGAGGCAATTTAAGCTCGTAAGCAATTGATCCCATGCGTCTCATTACTGTGTAAGGTCTAAAAAATGGGGGGGGGGGGGGGACAATTTTTCATTCTTAAGCTTAGCCAAGGACTTTTGGCGACAAGGTTGAAGATGAAAAAAAAAAAACTACATCCCCTGGTTCAAATTAAAGGTCCCGCCTATGCTAATCTGCTTGGGCTTTCATCTTATCTTGTGCTTTAGTACTTTAATCATGGCATCATGTAGATCCAGTTGCTCTTATAAATATGCAACTAATGTCTCTCCCTTTACATACCACCACTACAAAATTATGCATATTTGACAGTTATTTTCTGATATATTTGACGGTCGGTCAAAACCGTCAAATAAGACCCTATCATTTATACAGCTCCATATACTTGACGGTTATTTTAACTGTCAAATATGTGTCATTATACTTGACGGTTATTTACTAGAACTCACTTCGAATGAAAAACAAGGTCATATTTGACGGTTATATATGAGAACTATCAAATATTTTTAACTATATTTGATGGTTATATTAGATAACCGTCAAATATATGTACATATTTGATGGTTATCAAAATAACTGTCAAATATGTTGTAGAATTTTTTTTATATGGAAGCTGCGTTATAAGCAGCCCCCTACAACGGGATTGACATTTCATAATCCAGACAATCCAGCAAATATATATTATCATCAGCAACATTCTTTCAAAATTAAAAGAACATGTACATATATACACATACATAATATACATTAATTATAAACAAAAAAGTTTCAAATTTTAATCCTAAATCACAATTCTATCCTAAAAAATGAAACAATAATTCTATCCTAAGCCACATTCTTTTTGCCTTCAAGCTAGAGCAAATGTGCACTCATTAAATTTGTGAATTTTGCATGATCCATAGTTGAAATATGTATTGGCACCACTCTTCCACGACTTCATTGATGTGAGCATCCCTAAATTCTTCACAATAAGCATATCATAATACTACAATTTAAATTATAACCATATCAAAGTTAATTAGCTAAGTGATGAAATTTTGGCATATATAAAATGTATATTTAAATTAAATATGAACCTTGGTAGGGATTGAAGTCTTGGCGTGAGTGATGATGTTCCTATTGAATCTTATCATGTAATACCCACAGTCCACTGAATATGGTCTTTGACGCGGGCACTTTAAATACAAAACAAACAAAATATATTAAATTATTGAATAATTGTTAATAAATACTTGAACAATTAATGTTTAAACATGTATCCTTATTACTGTTCATGTGAACAATTGGTCAAATGGTTTGACCTTAAGGATAGTTAAAAATTCATTCGTGCGGTACAAAAGCACAACCCTAAAAACACAGAAGTTGGTAAGTTTGAAATATCAAAAAATAAAAGTATGAACTTAATTAATGCGCTTACTTGTTGATTAATTTCATTATATCTTTGCGATTATTCGGTTGTCAGCCAGCAGAATACAAGTAATAGATGGCCAATTTCTCATATTTTCCTTCAGCCGGATCGAGCACAATCAGCATCCAATGATCCCTAAAATAATTAACAATTGTAAAGAATATATAATAAATTGAAATAGTTAATAAAATTGAGAAAATGCATTAAATATAATAAATAACTTACCCTTGTACATAAGGTATCAAGAATAACCTCCCCCCTTTTTTAATAGTCCTGGCTTTAAATGAATTGCACAGACGCTTTGCTTGATCTTCATGATCAGAGTCCCTAATGTCATGGAAAGCAGCAATGTCATAGGGACAAATAAAGGCGAACATCCTAGTAAGGTTGCAGAGCACGACGAGTGTATGATAAAGAAACCTTAAATGAAAAAATCAAACAAATTAGTATATATTTATAAAAATAATGACCACTCTTGTGCAGAAGAAGTACCTCAAATAAAAATCCATGATGATCATGCTAATTATGCCATGGTGGAGTACTTCATCTACCACTTTGAGCGTTATGTGATTGGTATGATCTCTGTCATACATGCCATGCTTGAATGGGACATCTATAGTAATAAAATCATGAATACTCCTTTGCATGTCTGCATATGCCCTTAGTGAAGTTAGGAATTTATGTGAAAATTGAGGCTCCATCTTTTGAAGCAGGGGAGGTGTGATAATCTTGACTTATGGCCAGTTGATTGTTTGCTGGGGAAGTCTTTTTCCTTGGACTATATAACAGAGATAGTTAGAGATCAAAAGTTATTATATATATACCTTATCTTTGTTTGAGATCAGCTTTATAAATGATATATATATATATATATATATGTACCTTATCTTTTTTACATGTAAGCTTTAGAAGGGTGGCGAGCCATGCAACAAAGGTGTCCAATACGTCTCCTACAGTCATCACATCCTCGGTGGGAATGGGCAGCTGATAGTTGTCATCGAAAGAAACTTTTAGACAAACTCGTACGTGGCCTAGAGGAATTGGCACATTATATATAGTGCCCCCAGGGACATTATACATTATACCAATTGCAACTACACAGCGATTTGGACTATTTGCCAAAAATTCACATTTGGCTT